GGGCATGGCCAGGCTGAGCAGGCCGGGCTGTGCTCCAGGATTCTGAGTGGCTCTCTTCTGGAATATTCCTCTGCGTGGTCCTCGTCCGAGTACAGACCTAGTCTCCTGCAACCACACAGCCGCCTGTAGGAAGGGACACAGGGGCAGCCAGCAACAGGAGCCTCTGGCCAGGAGGGCTGGGCTGGGGACTGAGGAGCACAGGGACCCTGAGGGCCTCGCTTCCCGGCCAGGGTGCAGTGAAGGTCCTCGGCACACTCCACCTTCCCCTGGCCACTCCTGCCGTCCTGCTCAGCGCTCAGGCCAGCAGGGTGTCTGGCTCCTGTCTCTTGGTGACCCTGGGGCCACCAGGCTGGGAGGTGTGGGGAGGAATGTTCCTGGCCTGTGCTGGTTTCAGGTTTTGTCTCTTGGGCATGCCGGGTGACAAGGCCGTGGTGACAAAGATGGCCATGGTGGTGCACACCTCCCAGCGGCTCAGGAGGCCGAGACAGGGGAATCACGAGTTCAAAGCCAGCCTCAGCAACAGCGAGGCGCTAAGCAACTCAGTGAGACCCTGTCTCTAAATAAAATACCAAATAGGGCTGGGGATGTGGCCCAGTGGTCGATGCTCCCTGGTACCAAGAAAAGAAAAGGCCGTGATGAGATGCATGTCCCGGTCCAGAGGGTCAGTCTGCTCACTGGCCCCAGAGGGCCTGGGTGCCCTGGGACTTGCAGGACACTGCACTGGGCCTGCTTTCCAGTAGCCCCAGGAATAATGGAGGCTCAGAATAAAAAAATGAATCCCACTTTTTTTTTTTTTGAAGTATTCTTAGGTTTCCAGCTCTTTCTAGGCTCAAGTTTTACTGCAAAAGTCCTTGACCCATAAATACGTTCCAGTGACGATTTCTTTTTTGTTCCAACAATCTGCATGAGATGTGAGCTTCCAGTTTAGCCTTCTCAAGCACAGCGGCACCACAAAGGCACATGTTAAAACTGTTAGCACCGTGGACCTCACATGGTTCTGAACGTGATTTTAGGTTAGGGTCCTGAGATCAGGCCAGAGCTCTGTAAGAGCTCTTTCCTGGGACTCTTTCCTAAGCTGCCCGTCGTGGAGAGGCATGTGTGGCCTTGCTCCTGCTCTAGAGGCAGGCCCTCTGGAGGGCGCTGAGCTGGGTGGCTCCTCACACCAGCCCCTCCTCGTGTGGACGCCCCCAGGTCAGAAGTCCTCGAAGAGCCACAGAGCACTCTCCCCGCACTGTGGACTAAAGTGAGGGGTCCCGAGGCACTTCCTCTCTATTGCTGCCCCTTCTCATGCAACTTCCCTGCAGCCTCTGCCACAATCGGGCCCTTCAGTCCTCTCTGGGGCTCTTGGGTGTCCAGGACGCTACGTGTCGTTACAACAACGAGCAGGTAGACCAGGCGGCCCGAGCGCGTCTGCTGTCTGGGCTCTTTTCCCCTCACCCTCCCCTGCTTTCCTGAGTTTAAGCTGCTCTGGGAGAGGACACAAAGCTCTCCTCATGGAAAGTTTTACTAACCTGGCAGGGCGCCCGGGGCTGAGCCTTCCCCATTGCTAACGACGATCGCAAGTCTGTGCAGCAGTGATCAAACACGCCGAGCCGTGAATATTAGGGACACAGCTACTGCCTGGTGGGCAGAAGGGTGGACTCAGCCGTGCACATCAGTCATGAGGCTCAGTCCGTCGTGCTGGGTGGGAAGTCTGCACGGGGGTCACTGGCACAAAAAACCACACCACACGCCTCCCCGGGGTGGAGGCTGCTGTGGGTGGAGTAGACCAGCAGGCTGCACTGGCCCTTCTCAGAGACCCTGAGGAGGATCTCCTGACATGAGTGACGCCATCCATCAAGCCCAGGCCTGAAGCGGCTGCCTGCTGCTGAGAGGCGTCCACTGCTCACTCCTGGGCGAGGAGGGACACGAAGGGCACTTTCAAACCCGTGCGTGTGAGCCACAGTGCATCAGACGTTGGCAGAGACCCTGAGGTTCTGTCTGGGTGTCTGCCACCCTATAGATCCGACCTGTGTTCCACTGTAGCCAGCTGAGGGGCTGCTGCTGGGAAGGGACAGGCCGTGTGTCCTGCTGACTGCCCAGAGCTTGGTCCGGCTCACGTGATAAGGGCTGCTGCTGGGCTCCAGGGCAGCTGCAGGCAGGACCGGGCCCTCCAGGGAAAGCTCAGCTGCCCACTAAGCAAGTCTCCCTGTAAGTAGTGTGTGTCTGGCCACTGTGGACACGTGTGGCTGCCGCTGCAGGCTGTCTTTCTGCGAGCGGCTAGCTGTGATGCGGTACCGCGTCATTTCCTGCAGTTTCCTGGTGCAGCATCGCTCGACGCTCTGTTGAAGTCCCTCTGCCGTCTGCCCTCTCTGTGCTTGGGAGGGAGGTCAGCAGTATTGCTTCCAGCTGTCACTGACCATGCTCCTGTGCTCCTGGGGAACGGCACGGAGCTGGTCCCTTCTGTCAGTGACGAGGTGGTGACAACCATTGATCTGGGGAAGGAAATGGGGTAGGAAAGACAAAGGAGAGGTGAGGAAGCTCCTGGGGGCCCGGGGGCTGCACCACAGAGGTCTGGCCAGGGGCCTGGCAGTGTCGCCCCGCGTAGGCGGCCCGAGGCGGGGCTGTGGCGTGAGTGCTCGCAGGCCAGTGCTCCTTCTGGCCCCACAGACCCAGTGCTGACCTTGTGCAGATAGGCCAGACCTTTTCCGGGACCTTCTGCCCGTGCTCCTCAGCTCTGTGCCCACCGAGGAGCCCCCCTGGCCTTCCTCTCTAAGCTCCCACGGAGGAGCACCTTGTTCAGCTCCGAGCCGGCCAGTGGCACAACGCTATGCTGGTGCCGGAGCACACAGCCGTCAAGCACGAGGTCGCATTCAGAGTGTCCAGCTGTTGGTGGCCCTCTCCAGAGCCGGCCAGGCGGGAGGGCCAGCACAGCTCTTCTGCAGAGCATCCAGGTTCCGAGGCTCCCTGGGCACTGGGCCTCCTGCTGCAGCTCGGGCACAGGGCCTCATAAGTGCTCCTCCCAATAGGAAAGTGCTTCTTCCCCTGGGCTTCTGGGGGAGCCAGGAATCACCGACTCAGAGGTGGCTGCCCCGTGTACAGGACAGGGTGACCGTCAGCTAAAGCGGCCTGGCCGATGCCACAGGACATGCGGCTGCCATGACAGAAAGCTGTGAGGCTGTGACGGGCGCCACGGCTCAGGGGCCCTGACCTCACAGCTGCGGGTCCCCCTCGCACGGACCTTGCAGGCAGAGCTGCCAGTGCCGACCCCACCGTGCACAGCGGGAAGCCTCGACTGAGGCGGGAACGTGACTGCACTGCTCAGAGCTGTGGTCAGGAGTGTGACGGGAACACCGCCCCAAACGCCTGCACCGACCTTGGCTCCGAGGTGGACGTGCCCCACTGCAGACAGGACCAAAGGCCCCTGCTCGTCCAGGGGGATTGGGCCTCGGGGGCCACAGAGAGGCAGTATTTTTCCTCATCAAGGAATATCTGTTCGTCAACAGGAGGGGCTCTTGACCACTAGGAAGCTGCACAAAGGATCCTGGTCACTCAGCTGTTCCCCCAAAACAGCAATAATACCCACAAAACTGTCAAAATTAACAAAGTGAACAGAATCATTCAGGAAGCACTGGGCCTTGCCCACTCCCAGCCCTCGGGGCAGCTGCGCTGAGCCAGTGGCTCCCCACGGGGGGAGCTGACCCCTGAAAGCCCTTCCCCGATGCGCAGTAAGCACTTGACTGGTCCCAGGGCTCCTGGAGATGCCCATTCCAGGCCTGGCAGGGTCAGCTGCAGGGCAGTCGTGAGGGTGGGAGGCGGCCAGGCTGGGCTCTCAGTGCGGGGAGGGAGAGCCTGACCAACCCGCATGACCACGGGGGTGGAAATGTCCGGCATGCTTTTGAGGACCTGGATGGCGGTGCGTGCGTGAATGGATGCTGCAGGCTCGGGAAGAGAGGCCCAGCTACTCGCCTCTGCTGGTCACCTGCTGGCCACCTCTGCTGACTGCCTCTGCTGCCCGCAAGCCACAGCAGACGTGGAAGCTGAGCTGGCCATGAAGGACCTGCACTTGGAAGGGAGGGCTGAGCACATGGATGTTCTCAGGGAAGTGCGGGACTCGGTGGCTCCAGAATGGGGGACCTCCTCCTCACAGTTGCAGATCAAGCTCCGTTTGCCCCAGGAGAGTGCTGGGACACCGGAGAGGGACAGAAAACATCCTGTCCATGCTCTGAGAGGACACCGACTGGCAGGAGTAGCCAGGAGGCAGTCATCGGGCCACAGCAATGGGAAGGGGCACCTAGCAGCAGCTGTCGGTCCTAACAGGGAGTCCTAGTCCAGGGCAGCTGTGCCCATCACCTGCCACGTCCAGTTCTAAACTGCGGCACTGGAGATGTGCAGAGACGCCTGGAAACACATTCGTCCATAGCCACAGAAGATGCCTCAAGAGGTCTCAAGTGTCAGACTAAGTTGTGGAGAGCAGCGGAGACGTTAAGTCACCTATTATAAATATGCTCAAAGAACTAAAGAGAACTGTATTTACAGAACTACAGGAAGTGTCACAAACCTGCCTGTCAGATAAAGATCAGCAATAATGAGGTAGATAGAAAGGATTTTTAAAGCGTGAAATAGAAATTTTAGAGTCAGAAAGTACATTGGCGGGCTGGGGTGTGGCTCAGCGGTAGAGCACTCACCTAGCACGTGCAAGGCCCTGGGTTTGATCCTCAGCACCACATAAAAAAATAAAGACATGGATAAAATAAAGGTAATGTGTCCAACTATAACTAAAAAAAAATACATATTTTTAAAAAGTACATTGGCTAGCCAGGGCAAGGTGGTGCACACCTGTAATCCCTGCAGCTCAGGAGGCTGAGGCGGGGGGATTGCGAGTTCGAAGCCAACCTCAGCAACAGTGAGGCGCTAAGCAACTCAGTGAGACCCCTGTCTCTAGATAAAATACAACACAGGACTGGCTCCGTGGTTGAGTGCCTCTGAGTTCCATCCCTGGTCCCCCCACAAAAGTCCAATGCCTGAAATGTAGAATTTATTAAGAGAGTAGATGACATGTTCAAGCTAGCAGAGGAGAAGAAGCAACACTGTGAAGGTAGATCGACAGACGGTCCAATCCAAGCCGCTGAAGGAGCCCGACATGGGGAAGGCAGCCGGGCGTCTGGCACACACGGTTCGAGCCCTGGAGCAGGGCGGGAGACCAGTGGGGACATGTGGAGGAATAATGGCTGAAAGGGCACAGACTCGATGGGAACATTACTGTGCACATCCAACATAGGTCAGCAAACCCCAAGCAGAATGAAATAAGAGACAGACACCCAGAGACCATCCTGGAGCGGGCGAGGAGGGTCCTCAGGAACATAGCCTCCTGAGAAAGAGTGACGACTTCTCCTCGGGACTGTGGAGGCCAGAGACAGTGGCACGTGTCTCAAAAATGCTGAGAAGATAGCTGCAGGAATTCTGTATCCGGCAAAACAGCTTCAAAATGAAAAGCAAAGTAAAGGTATTTTTAGACAAACAAAGATGCCCGGAGTGCGTTTCTAGTAATCTTGACATCCAAGAAACACTAAGGGAGTCCTTCAGGTTGTGGGTAACTGAGACCCACACTAAGACGGACAAAGCACTGGCAAAGCAATCATATAGGCAAATAGAATGACAGTGTAAACACATTTTAAAATTCTCTTATTCTCCTACCTGATTTAAAGGATAATTGGATAAGACAGTAGCTATTAAAACTATGCTGATGGTCTTATACTGTAAAAGGTGTCATTTGTATAACAGCAACAGCAGAAAGGGGGCAGGGAAGGGAGTTGTATCAGAGCAAATTTGTGGAGAGCCACTCCAAGTACACGCACCTGTAAGTCCTGATGCACCACTGGGATCTGACTCGTGACTCGGTAGTGCCGTGACTCATGACTCGGGCTCTTCCCTTGCTCAGATCACAAGGTGTGTCCCTAGGAGTAGACAGCACCCAGAGGGGTTAGCTTACACTCACCTCGTCCTTTGTAAACCCTTGCCTCATTTGAATAGTTTCTCCCCAATAAAAAGGTCCGTCGTGTGCTCCTCATCCTCTTTTTGCATGCTTGCACCCTTTTGGGAGCTGAGGCTAAGGCATGGTTACTGAATCCAAAGAGAAGGTACTTTCTGTGTCTGTGTCTTTATTTAGCTTCAGTTCACTTGGAAGACCCTGACTGGTCATGTTGCATGACACAACACAAATTGTTCTGTATGATTAGAACTAGGTTAGTATTAATATGAAATGGCTCATCTTGAGGAAAATGCATGGTACACTAGAAAGTATACATGTAACATGGAAGAAAGTAATGAAGGCACATGGGAACACACCTCCGAAAATTCCACAAGGTGTGGAAAAATAGCAAAATGGTAAGCGAAAGTCCTACCATGTCAATAATCACCCTAAACGTAAAGGAAACACTCCAATAAAAAGATACCGACTGTCAGACAAGGTTTAAAAAAGTAAAACAAAATGGGATCCACCTGTATGTTGGCTATAAAAGATATCCTTTAGATTTGAAGATACAAATAAGTGGTAGGTAAAAGTGTGGAAATGGGATATTTTTTTGCAAAGAAACCAACAGTGGCCCTGATGCTTTGGTCAGCTTCCAATGCTGTAACAAAACACCTTGCACATGCTGCTCATGGAGAAGAAGAGCCGTGGTTAGCTCAGCGTGGTACAGTGCAGGGCACCGCACTGCACCACCACCTCTGATGGGGGCCCTCTCTGGGCCACTTTGAACCCCAGCAGATGGGAGTGTGTGTGCCAGAGCTCACAGTGCCAAACTGGAAGACGAAGGGGGGCTGGGCCCCACAGTCCCTTCTGAGGCACCTGCCCAGTGACCGCAAGGACCTCCCATGAGGCCCACCTTTTAATGGCTCCCTTTTCCAATACTACCCCCTGGGAACCAACCCTTTAGCTACAGTGGACCCTTTGGAGACAGAATTAAACCATTTAAACTATAGCCGTGTCAGACAAAGCAGACTCTAAGACAGAAGGTGTCACTGCAACAGAGATCGGTGGTGCTGCTCCTTCGTCATTCCCCATTGAACAGGAAGATGGGACGTCACAGACGGACAAGAGAGTTCCACAGCCATGAAACCAAGCTGATGGCAGTGAGGAGACAGACAGACAGCTCAAGAAGGACCACTGGAACCCTCAACAGCTCCTCTTACCAAAGGCAGAACAATCAGACAGATCCACAGGACGTAAAACCCTGAATAAGGCCACAACCAGGTCACCCCGCACAGGGGACCTTCTCCAGTGTAGACTTCCCACTAGGCCATGAAACAAGCCTTAATCAATTTAATGTTGATTCTGATCCTAATGAAATTAAATGAGGAATCCACAACAGGAATCAGGGAACTTTACCTAGTGATTTAGCCTAGAAATTAATGCTTTTTATATAAACCATGGGTTAAATAAGAAACCTTAGAGAATTGGAAAATACTTTGAACTGAATGAAAATGAAACACAACACATCAAGACTTATTGGATGCAAGGAAAGCAGTACTTAGAAGGGGATTCATAGCTCTAAATGTCTGCGTTAGAAACAAGAAAGTTTTCAAATCAGCAATCTAAACTTTTTCCTTAAAAATGTGGCACACTGAACCCAAAGGAAGCAGAAAGAAAAGCCATAAGGAAAGTAGCAGAAGGCAGCGAAGGTGAGGAACAAGAGAAACCAAGGAAATCAAAAGTCGATTCTTTTAAATGAAAAACAAAATTGACAAACCTTTAGCTGGCTTGAGCAAGAAAAGTTGGGAATGAAGGGATGGCCAGTGACTCCTTGTGTATTGAAGGGTCACTGACAGAAGTGACAGCCTAGGTAAAATAGAACTGACTCAAGAAGAGATAGAAAGGCCCCAGTGGATCTGACCAAGCAACGGAAATTAAATGACGATTTAAAATCTTCCCCAAAGACAGTCCCAGGCCCAGAAAACTTCTCTGGTAATTCCATCAAACATTACCAGAAAAAATCAATTCTAATACTCTAAAATCGCTTCCGGAAAACAGGGCACGAAGAGGCACTTCTCAATTAACTGACTCTTATGCCAAAGTCAGAACAAGAGGTCACAGACAGCCTCCAGACAAATGACCAGGAACCCAGAGCCATAAGCCCCCGTGGAGCGGCAAATTGAATCTAACAAAAATGGGGCACACCCCGTCCCAGAGGGGTGCATTCATCAGTGCGGGGCGGGTCAGCACCTAACACGGGCTGGGTTCGTGGCATGAAGGACAGAGCAGCAGTCCCCTCAGTAGATGTGAGATGGGATACTGACCACATCCAACGTCCTTTGTTTGGGAAGCTCCCATCAAACTTTCAAAGACCCAGAACGGCCCAAATGATTTTGAAACCAAAGAAGGCAGGTGGAGGACTCAGCCTGACTTCACAGCCGCCTGAAGGCACAGCCCTCAGGAGAGCATGCGCTGGCTGGCCCCACGGTGGCCAGGGAAGCCGAGTTCCAACCAAGGTGTCAGGCCACTTAGTTGGGGTCAAGGGTAGCCTTTTGAACAAGTGGTGCTGGGGCAGCTGGACAATTGTATGCAAAACCCTCCCTCCCCGCCCCCCCAGCTCAGCATTGGTCAGGACTGAGCTGCACTAACAAGACTTCTCAGGAGATGACTCAGGAGAAAGGCTCAAGACCTTGGCTCCGGCAAACATAATAAACTGAACCTCATCAAGATTCAAAACTTTTGTGCTTCCAAAGACACCCGGGGACAGCGCAGCGGCAAGAACCGCCTGGAGGAGCCCTCTGCAGAAGAACTGTCTGGTGAGGCTCACGCCCAGGGCCTTCCAGGACCACTGGCCCCAGTGACGAGAGCAGGAGGCCAGCCTGGCCCTGGTGCACAGGGGACCCCACGCCAGCATGGTGCTCATGTGGCCAGCGGGCACAGTCGGGAGCACCTGGCTAGGCGGGACGTGCGGGCCATGCATGACAGGGCATTTTCATCCCTGTGAGGCCCGAGCCGTGGCACGCCGACAAAGCCACCTGCCACGCATCTCAGAAGGCACCCCGCCGTGTGCAGTGGCTCATGAATGCAAAGTGAAAACCGTGGTGAGGAGTGGTTTCCCTTCACCAGGGTGGCTGTGCAGGGGACTTGGGGGAGGACATGGAAAAATGGGACCCTGGGCAGTACAGCAGGTTCTGCTCCGTGTCCATGTGGGACCTGGACACATCCATCCACAGCAACCAGCCCTCCAGGGTCGACAGGGCTCTGTGCGAGTCTCACTTTCAAAAGGCTGGCGAGCAGATGGGAGAAGCAGGGTGCACCCCCCGTGCAGCCAGAGCCGCGGCAGGAACTGGGCTGAGAGCTGCACACAGGCCACTGCTCCACGTGGGTCTGCGAGCCGCCTGGCAACGAGACACCTCCCGCACCGTGCAGTTGCCCTGCAGTGGCCTCATCCAACGGCTGGGAAGCTCAGTGGGCTCACTGAACACGTGGCCCACTGGGACCCACCCGGAGGCGGGCGCCACCCCGTGTGTGAGGCAGCGTCGGGCAGGCCCAGGCTCGGGGTGGGCAGGGCTCGCAGCGATCTCTCAGCGCTCTTGCCACGGCGGCTGCTGTAGGCTTGCAGGTGTGGCCAGCGCAAGACCAGCCTGCCCCCAGCACCATGCATGAAGTCCTGGTCTAAGGACACTGGACCCTTTGGGACAGCATCCAGGAAGAGCCAAGCCTGCCCCCAGAGTGACAGGCCCTTTCTGGTACTCTGGTGACTCAGCCTCTCCTAGACTGCTCTCTGGGGGGTCTCGCCCCCGTCCTGCGTGCGGCCTGTGTCTGCCTTCTGCCTAGCCAGCTCTGGGAGGCCTGCCTGCGGAATGCCCCTCTCCTGGCCTCATGCCACACGCCGGCACTGACCCCAGGTGCTCAGGCCCAAAGGGTGGCAGCTTCTGAGCTCAGGGCTGGCGGGGGGAGTCCATGGACAGCCTCCTTCAGAGTCGGGAGAAGCCCCCCTGCCCTCACAGGGAGCGAGGACCTGCCTCCAGCACTGTCAGGATGGACAAGGACCCTCTTCGGGGACTTACGTCGGGGGGACTCTGAGTCTCCGTTTCTGAGAGGCCTGCTGCCAGTCGGCGCCTGCGGCCTCCTGCTTTCTGAGGCTGGTGAGGTGTCCGTGTGCTGCCCCAGGCCGGCTGGGGTCGGCCCTGTCCTGAGAACCCCATGACCACTCTCAGGTTCCCTTCTGAAGCAAGAACGCGAGCTCGTGTGCACAGCGAGGGTTGTGGAGGGCCACAGCGGCCTCACAGCCCAGGCCCTGCCCCCAAGCCCAACTGCAGGCCCCTGGGTGGCAGGCCCCTGGTTATCGCTCCTAGAGCCAGGTCCCTGGAGGAGCGGGGCTATCAGGCCCCCCGCCATCCACCCTGGTGAGGTCTTCCCAGAGGCGCCTATCAGGCCTCCCAGCTGCGCGTCTTCAGATATGGCAGGAAGTTGGCCTGGGCAGCAGGCGCTCCGGCTCCAGGAGCCTGGATCTAGTCCCTGGGCCCTCTGGGCAGGTAGCTGCAGGACACAGGGAAAGTTCAGCTGACACGGAGGCCTGCTGGGCCCAGAGCTGCCCGTGGGCTGGGCGGGCCACGGGGCAGGCAGCTCTGCCTCGGGGAGGACCTGTCTACCCTCCTGGGGTCCTGCCTGGAACACACTCAGTGTCTCCGCTCAGCTGTGTGCTGCCAGCAAGCTGACAGGCTCGCGTGTCACTTCCGTGGGAACCTAAGCTTTGAAACAAATTAGACTCTCGTTGACGTTGTAATAAAATCAGAAGGGACTGAATAGCTCCGTGAAGGAGAACTCCATGGTTTCTGTGATTTTGGAGCCCTTTCTGGGCTTCCCAGACCCCTGCAGGAACGGTTTCCTCTGGGCAGCTAGCTGGCAGGAGAGCAGGCCGGAGAGGTGGCGGACCCGGAGCACCGCTGGGCCAGGCCAAGCCCGCCGTGGGAGGTGGGCGTTGGGAGGGTGGGCACCGGGCAGCTTTTCACGCACTTCGGGAAGGAGCTCAAAGCACGGGTCAGTTTCTGTCTGCTGATCAGGAGTTTGTGCTGGATTGAAAGAGTTGAAATCGCGTCCAAACCAAGCAGGGGCATTCGGGTGGACCCCCGTGTCCATCTCTGCCTTTCTGTCCCTCTTTCTCTCCCTGACTCTTCCCCTCTGTCTTTCCCTCTCTGTCTCTCTCTTTCTGCCTCTGGCCACCTCTCTCTCCCCCTGTCTCGCTGTCTCTCATGTCCACCTACATTTCAGCACCACGTGGACTGTATGTGTAATTCTTGACCGTCTTTTCCTCTGGCTAGGATGGGACGGTGGTTTCCACTGGAGCAGCTGCAGCTTCCCTCTTCCTGCCGTGCTGGTGTGGAACCAAGTGTGCAGCAGCGTGTGGGTGGAGTCAGGCTTCTCTTCGGAGGTGTGGTGGGTTTACCTGGGCTCCGAGCCAGCGGCTGTGGCCTCCCAGTGAGGCCTGTGTAGTCCCTTCCTGGCCAGGACACTTCCTGTCCCCTCCTTCTACTTCCTGTTTCTCTCCAGGCCGCAGGCAGTGAATCTTGTGGCCTCTGGTCACATGTGCTGATGTCACCTGGCACTCTAGTGGACTGGCTGTCTACCTCAGTGGGCACATGTGCCCAGGGCTGGCCTTGCCACTTTTCTGACCTGAGCATGTGGGGTGGGCAGAGACGGGCAGGGTCTACAGCCTCTCATGCAAGTTGTTGGGTGCAGGGGGCACCAGCTATGGGTGGTGCCCGGCCAAGCATGCTCCCCAGGAGCCAAGGAGAGTCCTGTGGAGAGGCTGTCCTGGGGGCTCCTTCTGCAGAAGTCCTCCCCACTGGTCAGCAGAGGCCCCTCTTGGAACCGGCCCTCATTCCCTAGGGATCTGTGTAGTGTCTGTGTTCTTGTCCTGTGACCTGAGCCCTCAACTGTGTCGCTGATGTGGTCTCCGTTCCACAGGACTGGATGCCTTTAGGGTGTTCAGAGCATCCAGATCCGGCCTGTCGGTGGGCATGTCCAGCTGCCCACCAGGCAGCACGGGCTGTGCTGGTCACAGGAGAGGAGAAGGCTCTGCAGTGAGGCCCTGAACTCCAGCCTCTGCTTCCTGATGGGCCTGAGGCCATCTCCTGATCTGGGCTCAGAGCCCCAGCTCCTGGGAAGGGGGCCTGAGCGGGCTGTATGGCCCTTTGAGCCCAGACCTGGCAGGAGGGGTCCTAGGAGCTGAGCTTCAGCAAGGCCTGGCCTCCAGTCACCGGGGGCGTGCGTTGGCACCCAAAGTCAATTAGAGCGCCTGTGTGCCGGCGCTGCTGATCTGATTTAGGCCCGAGGAGCGCTCCAGTAATGGGCAATTACCGAGGGCTTAATGGCCCTTTATCTTGAATGCAACTTCCATGCACCTCGTGTGCTTTGATGAATCACTCCTTAGGTGCAGTGTTGGAATAGCCTCCATAAAGATTAATAATTGGCTAATCAATACGAAAATCCAATCTTGGGGTTTTCCGCTCCGGTCAGTGTGTGCGGGAGATGGCGGCTCTGGGCTGCCTGCACATCCCACCTCTTCCCCTCCTTCTCTTCCTCTGTCCTCCTCCTCCTTCCCCTGGCAGCCTCCTGCCGGGGGTCTCCTGTGTCCCCCACACTTTGTGCTTTCCTGGGCAGACCTCTCTGGAAGACAGGAGCAGGGCTTGTGCACCCGGGTGGGCATGACTGGGGGCCTCCTCCAGCAGGGACCCGGCAGTAAGAGTCTCACACCAGGTGCCACTGGCACGGGGACAGGAAGGTGGCCTTTCACAGATGGCCAGCAGGCAGGGTGGCGTGGGCCTCCCTCCCTTGGGGGCTCTGGGGACCACCTGGTGCGCACCAGGGTGAAGGGTGGCCTGCTGAGTGGGCGGGGCCTTGGCGAGGGCTGTGCAGCCGTCCTGGAAGTCCTGCTCTGGGCGCAGGTGGGAGTCTGACCAGCAGTCAGTGGAGAAGTGAGGCGTCCTGGTCTGAGTGTGGAGACCCTGGAGCCAGCAGTGGGCAGCAGGAGGAGGCGGCAGGGCACACGCCGCGGCCAGGAGTGACGACGAGGGGCGATGGAGGTGCCCTCCGCCCTCATCCTCGGGTGCACCACGGGTGGAGGAAACTCAGAGCTGGGCGGACCTGGGCAAGGCAGGCCCTTGCTGGGCAGGAAAGACTGCAAGCGTGCTGGCCCTGGTCTGTGCCTGAGGAGGCCAAGCTTGCAGACCTCAGGCTTGGGCCTCACTTCTGTGTCCCTGAGAGGACAGAGGGCCTGGGCTGTCGCGGGTCTGCTCCCCGCGGGGGCAGGGTGGCTCTCCGCCCCGGCAAAGCAGTGCCCAGACCCTGCGCTGGCAGCCACCGGCCTGGCCTTCCGCGCCTTGTCTCTGTGCCGTGGCTCAGGAACTCAGCCTGAGAGGCATGGAGTCGCGGTCGTAGCACTTCCGAGGGTGCTGTCGACACTGCACCCTTACCGACACCCAGGTACAGACGGCAGGCCGCGAGCGTCCACACCTGCTGCGACTCTGCACGGGCCTCACAGCCCCCTCAGCACCCACGGGCTGAGCAGTGAGGGGCTGCTGGCCTCTGAGCTGCCTTTGCCCACAGGTGAGCCGGGCGCTGCTAGTGGCCCAGGCTGGGGACCGCGGCATGATGCTGGTTCCCAGGCCCTGCTGTGGGTCCCGCATGGAGGTCACAGCTCGCTCCTCCCGAGGGCAGCTCGGCCTGTGGAGGGCATCTCAGTGCCCACACTAGTGAGTTCCTCAGGACCTGCCCGTGGTGCTCCCTGTCCCTCAGGACTTGCCCCATAGGTGCTCCCCATCCCTCAGGACCTCCCTGTGGTGCTCCCCCCCCCCCCGGCCCTCCCGTTGGTGCTCCCCCCCCCTCAGCACCCCCCTGTGGTGCCCCTCCCTCAGGACCTCCCTATGGTGCTCCCCCTCCCTCAGGACCTCCCTATGGTGCTCCCCCTCCCTCAGGACCTTACCGTGGGTGCTCCCCTGTGCCTCAGGACCTCCCTATGGTGCTCCCCCTCCCTCAGGACCTCCCTAT